CGCGCGTTGTGCTCCCCCTCATGGAGTCGATTTCGCTCGTTCCCAAGGTATCGTTGATTGGTTACGTGCTGGTGTCTGAGGGGCTGTCCGAGTTTGTCAAAGCGTCGAAGCACGACCCGTCTCCCTTCAAGCCGCACGCCTGTCTTTGCGTCTCGCTGGCGTGTACAGTTGTCAAATAGCATGCGTGTAGGCGTGTCAGGGCAAAACCACAGCCGCAACGTGTGGGCCCCGACATGCCATGATCAAATTTTCCCCACGCGCGTCTACGAGCAGGACCTGTTGCCACCGCCACCTCTGCAAGACAACATCGTGACCAATGCTCGCGAGCACCTGCCTGTGGAGGCTAGGGCTGACTGTGCTATTCAGAGCAGGGCTACCGACATGATTATTCTCTCAAGGGCCTCTGGGAGAGCCCGCCCTCCCTCCGAAGGTTCTCGCGGAGCCTATCCTAGCTTCAAGTAGGGTAAGAGCGGACGCCAGGGTTTATGTGGAGGGAGTCTTCGGCAACATGGACTGTCTCCCCGTGTTGCTGAACATGTGATTCCTGGGGACCCACGTTCTGTTGATTGGTGGCTAACTAGCTTTCTAAGGAGTTCCCCGAGATCTGGATGGTTTAAATCTGATGTCCGATGCGGTCAGCTCGACGCTGACTGAGGCCGGCCTGAAGGAGTGACTTGTCGAGGCCCTTTCGCGAGAGGCTAAGAGTAGTATCCCTGGCTCGAGTACAAGGAGGGTGCAGACCTTAAAGTACTTGTCGCGCCATCTGGCATGACGCAGCAGCCTGAGGAGATGATGCATGATCGTCAAGAGTTTGGGGGGGCAGTGCTGAAAGGCGACCGAGGACAAACTTTAACAACTTTCTGCAGTGGTGGGCTCCTTGAAGCCTTTGGTTTTGGGGCGTGTGGGGAGTTTCGAACATTCGGAGCCTTCGGACGTTCAGAGAGCTACCTTCCCCTCCACCTTTCCCATGCTCCTCCTCATCATTACCATCCTGATCCTCATCCTCATCCTCATCCTCATCCTCCTCCTACCATCCAATTATATATCTACCCACCTCCCTCCTCCCTCTCATTCTCGTACTTTCTCGTCTTCTCGTTTTGTCGAATCCAAGCGCCCTCCTAACTCTCCGACCGCGTGTTTCCTCCGCGTGCAGATATCTGAACGTACCACCACCACCACCATCGGTCTCCTGTCAAGAGGACAGGAATTCGGGAGGGTTAAAACTGAGAAGATTGGTGGCTCAGAGATAGGGCCCTGAGGGGTGGGGCCTAAGGATACGAAGGGGATACCAAGCTGAGCCTTCACTGTTTGAGGCCACTCGTCCTTAGGGCCCCGTCCCTCATAGTACCATCCAGGAACCACCGAGATGAGGCAGGCGGAGGAGATGAGGGAGGTAAGAAGGGGAGGGAAGGGGGGGAACGGAGAAGAGGAGAAGGGGAGGAGAAGAGGAAAGTAGGAGCCCATCGACCTGAAGGCCACGCCGACACCAGCTTCGCTGCCCCCCCGCGGAGCCTGGCATAGGGGCGGGCTCTGCCATAGCGGGCGCCGGCGCGGGCGCTGCCACCACAGCAACAGCCGGCGCCAGCGCGGGCGCTGGCGCGGGCGCTGCCACCACAGCGGGTGCCAGCGCAGGCACAGCCGGCGCGGGCGCTGGAACAGCGGGCGCCGGCGCGGGCACGGCGGGCGCCAGCGCCGGCGCTGGCACAGCGGGCGCCGGCGCGGGCACAGCGAGCGCTGGCGCCGGCGCTGGCACAGCGGGCGCCGGCGCGGGCACAGCGGGCGCTGGCGCCAGCGCTGGCACAGCGGGCGCCGGCGCGGTCACAGCGGACGCTGGTGCTGGCGCTGGCGCCAGCTCAGCGGGCGCGGCCAGCGCGAGTGCCGGCGGCGCCGGCGCTGGCGCGAAAGCCGCGGGCGACCGCGCTGCTGGCGCGGCCAGCGCTGCGCCCGGCGAGGTCACAGGGGAGCTCGCGGGCGACGCGGCTCGGCCACCTTCGCCGCTGGAGTCGGGGTTCACCACGAGGCCACAGGCGAAGCCGAGGGCGAGGATCGCCTGCCACCATGTTCCTCCTCGGATTCCTTATCCTGCTGACTGTCCTTCCTCCTCCCTCCTCCTCCTCCTTACTCCTCCTCCTCAGTTCCTCCTCTCCTCTCATTCCTCCTACTCCCCCTCCTCCACTTGCGTCAAGTCCCATTCCTCCTCTCCTCCTCCTCCTCCGCCTCCTCCTCCTCCACTTCCTCCTCCTCCTCCTCCTCTCGCTCCTATCTCCTTCCACCCACCAACCCACCCACCCACCCCACCCAACCCACCCACCCCACCCACACACCACCACAACAACCACACACCACCACGACCACCATCAATCAATCATCATCATCATCACCACCACCACCATCATCATCATATCATCCTCATCATAATCATCATCATTCATCATCATCATCATCATCATCACCCCATCATCATCATCACCACAACACCACCATCATCATCATCACCACCACCACTCGGCATTCAGCATCAGCAAGTCGCATCAAGCATCAGCATCAGCATCATCATACATCATTCGTCGTCAACAACAACAACAACAACAACAACAACAACAACAACAACAACAACAACAACAACAACAACAACAATCACTTTACCCGAACGCTCAGTGTTCTCACCAGTGCCAGGGTTTTCATGCGACGCCAGCCAATACCCCCACTTTGTGGGGGGGCAGTGCAAGCTCTACCAAATATCCACACGACTCTTCGCCACCACCCACACCCAGCTTCCCGCCCTATGACGTTCGGACACTTCACTTCGTGGCATGCGGACGACCGTGGCTACTATTCAGGGCCCCGCGGCCGACGACGACGGCGTGCGCGCGCGAAGAAAAAACGAATGTGTCCCGCATGGTATTATTTGACAGGGATGATGGCCCTGGCAGGTGCGCAACCGTTGTCGCAGAAGTTCGAAAAAGTTGCTCGCAAAAGCCCGTTTGACAGAAATGTTTAAAAAGTGTTGGGTTTCCTACGAATCCGCAAGAGCGCGCGGGATGAGATTTTGACATTTTTTTGTTGAAAAACCATTAGTTTTTTGATGTTTTTATGTTGAAATCGCTCCGAACACTAAGCTTTTGGAAGGATTTCGTCTTGCGCGCGCGAATGTCCACTTTACCTTATTTTTTGCAAAGGATTCTTGAAATTTGATTATATTAGAACAAGAAATGTCATTTTATAGTGTTTTTTGCAAGGGAAAGCGGGGGGGAACAAAACAACCGGATCTTGATCACATCGAATTACCTGAGGCTTCCTCACGAAAATGATGAAAATGTAGCTGCGGCCTAGGCGGCGCAGGGGGGCCGTGCACCAGGGGTCCCAACAATAATTATTCTTTAGAATTAATAATGTTCAACAAAAACAACAACAACAAGGTTAAGGCCGGCATGGCCCCCCCGGGGTGCGGGAGCGGATCCGCCGGTTCCACCACAGTGGAGAAGGCCGGCACTGCCCCCCCGGTCAGTCCGAAGGAGGGGGGGGGGGGGGCGAACAACACAACACAACATCCTAGGGCATCCTTAGGGAATCCTTAGGGAATCCCTAGGGAATCCTTAGGGAATCCCTAGGGAATCCTTAGGGAATCCTTAGGGAATCCTTAAAAATCCTTTTAAATCCGTAGGGGGTCCTGAGGGAATCCTTCAGAATCCCGAGGGACTCCTGGAGGAATCCCTGGAGGAATCCTTAGGGAATCCTTCAGAATCCCTAAGGACTCCTGAAGGAATCCTTCAGAATCCCTAGGGGCTCCTTAGGGAATCCTTAAGCATCCCTTGGGCATCCTTCAGGAATCCTTAAGAATCCATGCGAACTCCTCCGGGAATCCTCAAGAATCCCTAAATAATCTTTCAGAACCCCTAGGGAATCCTTAATAGGGCGACGAGATCTATGCATATCCACTGCTCCTGGCCAGGCCAATCCTGGGCCCAGGAGCGGTGTACACGCCCTCCTGGCCTGGCCAGGGAGGCATATACACAGCTCCTGGGCCCAGGATGGGCCTGGCCAGGAGCAGTGGATATGTATAGATCTCGTCGCCCTACTTAAGACTCGCTGGGGAATCCCTAGGGACTCCTTAAGCATCCCTGAGGAAGCCTTAAGAATCCCGAAGGAATCCTTCAAAATCCCAAAAGGAATTACGAAGGAATCCTTCAGACTCCCTAAGGAATTCTTAAGAATCCTTAGGGAATCCCTCGGGGATCCTTCAGAATCCTCAAGAAATCCTTCCGAATCCCGAAGGAATCCTTGAGATTCTCTAAGGAGTCCCTAGGGAATCCTTAAGAATCCTTAAGGAAGCCTTTGGGAATCCTGACGGAATCCTTACGGAATCCTTAAGGAATCATCCAGAATCCCTAAAGGATCCTCCGGGAATCCTCCGGGAATCCTCCGGGAATCCTTCAGAATCCGTAATGAATGCCTCGGGAATCCTTAAGAACCCCTAGGGCATCCTTCAGATTTCCTAAGGAATCCTCAGGGCATCCTTAAGAAGCCCTAGGGACTCCTTACGGAATCCTTAAAAATCCTGAAGAATCATTAGGAATCCTGAAGGAACCCTCAGGGAAACCTTAAGAATCCTTTGGGGATCCTGAAGGAATCCTCAAGGAATCCTCAGGGAATCCTTGAGAATCCTTAGGGAATCCTTAAGGAATCCTCAGGGAATCTGTCGGAATCATCCGGGAATCCTTGAGAATCCCTCAGGAATCCTCAAGAATCCATAGGGCAACCTCAAGGAATCCTTCGGGAACCCAAGGAATCCTTAAGAGTCCCTTAGGAATCCTTAAGGAATCCTTCAGAATCCTCCAGGGAATCCAAAAAAGAATCCGTTGGGAATCCTCTGGGAAGCCTTAAGCATCCCTGAGGAATCCTTTGGGGATCCTCAGGGAATCCCTTAGATTCCCGAGTGAATCTTTAAGAATCCTCACGGTATCCTTAGGGAATCCTGAAGAACCCCTGAAGTATCCTTA